GAAAAACATCAAAGCTGCAAAGTTCATAGTAATTTTATATGTTTTTTATTATAATTTCATATATAAAAAATTTACATATAAAATAGTGTGACAAATCGTGTGACTGATGTATAAAGCACTACTCTAACCTCTAACCCCTAACCTCTAACCTCTAACTCTTACCTAACCCTAATATTAAAGAGGTTTGTTTTGTTTTTATTTATAAAATTGTATGCATTGTAAATCACAGGTAATAATCACCTGTGGTAAACATTAGATTATTTCTAAAAAAAAACTATAAAATTACTATGAACTTTACAACTTTGATGTTTTTTAACTTATATATTAAATTAAATTCTATAATTATATAAAGCAAGAAAGAAAAGATTTTTTGTTTATTTGCCAAGTTACAATTTTGCTTTCTTGTATATTTTAAAAATATAACTTTGTCAAAAATAAAAATTTATTAATTTTAATATAATAGCTATATACTCTAAAAACAAATTTTCTTAAAAAGAAAAATGAGTTAGCTATATTTTAAAGTAAAGAATTTTAATTTTTTTATATTTAATTTTTTTTATTAAAGTTTTTTATTGCTATTTTTGAAATAGTTAAAAATAGCAATATTTTTAAAAAAATTTTTCTTGTGAATACCTAAATACTTAAATATTTAATTAGTTTAGAATATTGATTACATTAATCAAAGATTAATTTTAGCTATTTTTATTTAATAATAAATTAAGTGAATAATTGTTTAATATAATAATTACTATTTCATAGTTAGAAATTAATATAATCAATGTTCTAAACAAATCAAGTATTCAAGTGTTTAGATATTCACAAAAAAAATTTTTTCAAAAATATAGAGTTGTTTAATATAAAATTTTATAATATATATAGAGAATGCCTATTTTCACCATGAAAATTTATTATTTCTACTATTGACTATAATTTATTATAGCTAAAAGTTATGTGAAAAAAATGGTAAAAATAGGTGCTCTCTATATATACATATTTGTTAAAATATATTTGCTTGAATCTTTTTTAAGTAAAAAATAAAGTTTTTTTTTTAAAATTTAGCAATCTTGCTTTTATTATATTAGGTTTAATAATATTATACTTAGAAATATTAAATTTTTCAAGGTGCTGTTCTTTTTGACATCTAAATTACAAGTATTAGCTCACTTAGTTGTTCTGAGAATACTTATATAACCTGCTATAGTTTTATATTAATTTATTTTGCAAATAGATTTATTAATATTTCTTTAAATAGTTTTTATAGTCTGTCAAGACTACTAATTAAATTTTAGAGAAATTACAAATAAAGATCCAAATTTGAAAATAATTACAAATAAGAGCCCAAAATAAAAATAATTACAAATAGAGATCTAATATTTTAAAATTATTACAAATAAGGGCCCAAATTTAAAAAAGCTAATTTATCATAATCTTATAATTAAATAGATATTTAAATAATCATTATAAGCCAATAAATTAATTAATTAATAGAATAATTGCAAATTTATTATAATATATAACTACACAAATCTAATTACATAATTACTAAGTACAAATTTTCTTATTTAGCATTTTTGTATCTTCGAACACTTATAACCTTTTTTATTGCATTTTTACAGATAATCTGGTTTTTTGGTGCTGTTTTTCTGCAACTATATAAGTGAATTTTCCATGTTTACTGAATTTAGGTAGTAGTAAAATTTGTTATTAAAAATATATACTTCTGTATCAAATAGCTATATTGACTCTCTATTGGGTTTTAGAATACCCTTCTAATATATTTGCAGATCATTTCCATATCGCGTATAATCCTAGACTGAAGTTATAAAAATTTACTATCTAATTTCAATTACAAAAATTCTTGGTTATACAATTAGTTTATCTTAAGTTATACTACTTTAAATTTTAAAAAAATTGTATCTATTTTTTAATATAAATTTAGAAATATATTTATATAGTAAATATTAGTAAAAACTTCAAATTTAAATTATTTCTTATATATTGGTTTAATTTCAAAGAAATTTTATATTTAAAATTAGCAAACTTATTTTTATAACTTTTATCAAAAATTTTATAAATTTATCTAAAAAAAAAAATTATAAGCATAGATATTCTATAAGGTGGCTAAAAACTATTATATAAAATTAAATTAAACTAAAAGTTGTAGGGAAAAAATATTTTTTATAAAATTTAAAAAAGAATTTAAAGCTATTAGTTTTTTATACAGTATCATAAGTAAAAATAGGATCGACAGTTATAATCGTAACTGGAAATCACATGCATAATTATTAAGGTTGGCGCATTTCTTTATATAGTATAAATGGTACATTTGGAATATACAGTACATTTGAGATATTTGGTACAATTAGAATATATAGCACATTTAGCACATTTAGTTATAGTATATAAGAGTAGCATTTATCACAATGTAAAGGTATCTCACATATATCCAAATAAAACATATATTTAATAAAATATATACTTTGGCTCTGCCAAATCGAATGTCCTCTTTCGAAATAATATATTAGTATCATTGAATGTTATACAAACTGTTGGCCGGTTTACTCTAATGAGTAGGGATATTAAGGCATACGTTTTACCTGAATTACAACAGATACTCCAAGAGTTGGATTATAATATAAAATATTAAATATAGTAGTTAATTTTAAAAATTAGCAAATAATCTAACTTGATTGTGTACTAAATCTAGTATGGGTAAATCTAATCTATTAACAATAGCCTAAAGTTGCTAAGTAGTTGTTTGTAGTAATACTGTGTGTACTAAAGCATATGTTGTATGATAATTATAATAAAGTATATTAATCTTGTAAACAAATAAGAGAATTGCTTCAAATAGCTCTATGAAGCATTCATTATATAACTGTAAATTAAAAGATTTAGATATATTTGAAGATATCCAAATCTATTTCAAGAGTATCGATTTAGAGTTCATATTGCTAAAGGTATTTTACTTAAATAAATTATAGCTTCCATATATAAACTATTAATTTTTTTATAATATTATCAAAGTCTTTTATGTGCAGTGCTTTTGCTATAGCTTATAATTACTACAAAGTTTTATTCTGAATTTTGTATTGATATTTTTTTCAATATGCCACACACAATGTGTATAGAAAATATCAGGAAGTTCTGTTTGTACTGCATCTGAAATACCCTATATAAATATTGTTAATATAGAATTGCTAATATTAAAAAAATAAAATAAAAATAAAAAAATAAAAATTTTTTTATGATCATTTATGATAACAGTTTTATTTGTGTTTATTGCAGAAATAGCTATACATAAATATTTACAAAACTATAACCAATTGTTTGAATTTTTGATAGAGCAAACTGCGAATACTATAGGAACAAGTTTATTTTTGCTATCAATTGCGCTTGTACCAATAAAAATATCTTTTATAATTTGATTTTGAATAACAAACATCAAGAGTAAATACAGGTTTACAATATTTTGTAGCATTAGTCCATAGTTATAAATATATAAATACATGAGTGAATTGGTCTTCAACATCAACTTTGAATACTATAATGCTTTCAGAGTTTTCTATAAGTAAATTGTTAAGTAATAACTTAATATATTAATAACTTATATTTATTTTCTTTATACTACATTTTTTAGCAATAGCTTTACTTCTCCAAGTAGCCATATATGATGTCTCAGCTTCTACTTCAGAATGAACATGATTCATAATATCACGGAGTTGAAGAACTAGTATATCTTTGACTAATAGTACAGTAAGCTTCCATAGAAGTTGGACAAGTTGAATCATAAGGAATTAGCTTTACAATATAGATGTAACTATCTTTTTGCTTGTTAGCTAAAATAGTAAATGGGTATGAACTATTTTCTTTTGTAAGACAAACTACAAGCAACTTATTTGGTTTGTTAGTTCTAAACTTATAAGGCAAAGTGAATTTAACAGAGTAGCTATTTAGGCCAAGTAAGCATTTTTCATATTAATAAAAGTCATATTAATCTTTAATATATCCAACATGGTGTTTGTTATAAGCAGGTTTTTAAAAGATATATCAAAAACTTTAAGGATAAAAAACAATTTTAAAATACAGTATAGATAATGAGTTAATGAATTGAATAAACTAGAAGTATATTTTTATTGTACGTTTGAATTTATATTTGAATTACTAATTTGATTAATTATTATTATATTTCTCATATGCTTAATAATTGATAACTATTAATTATGGGTTTTTATAAAATTATTTTGGACTCTTATTTGTAATAATTTTCAAATATTGGGTCTCTATTTGTAATTATTTTTATTTTTGGGTGCTTATTTGTAATTATTTTCAAATTTGGTTCTTTATTTGTAATTTTCTCTTAAACTTTTCACTATTTTGCCTATTGTCCATCTTTTATCTAACTTAAAACTTTATTTTTAGTTAAATTTAGAACAGATTTCTATCTTGCTTTGGTTTTATTCGGTTTGCTTTTTCTTTCATGAATCTCATTACTTGGGGGTTTTTTTTTTTGCTTACTTTTTTTTTTTCCTTTGGTGTCTTCTCTAGATCTTTTTTTCTTTTTACATTATACTATTCTCTTCTTATACTCTTGTACTAGTTTACATCTTGCAACCTATATCTATTCATAGATTTTTTCATCCATCTTTTCTAGAGTTTTGCTATTAAGTTTCTTGCTTGTTTGTTGAAAATAAAGCTTAGCTATATTTTATCAAAGTCTTTTTTCATAATTAGATCTCTTATCTATCTTTCTCTTCTATAAAGCTCTTTAGCTATACTTCTTTTTTCTATTATAACTAAAATCTTTCTTTTTTTCATACATGTCTTGTATTTTATCTATTTCTTTTGAAAGTTAGCTCTACTTCTTGTTCTTCTATATCTTGTATTAAATTTAATAATACTTTATAGCTTACTAAATATTTTATGTTTTCTGTCTTCTTCTTGCATATAATATATCTATTGGTTTTGTATATATCTGGTTTTCTCTAATTAAAATTCTTTAACATCAGTAAAATATTGTTTATATACTTTAATTCAAAAAGCTGTATTGAATTTGTTTATATATATGATTTTACTGCTTTGTTTCACTTTCTAATAATTTGTAAAAGATTGGCTAGTGCTGTAAGATTATTCTTTTTTGGTATGCTGTGTTTTGACCATTATATAAGTGCTATCAAGGAAAAACTATAGATGCTAGTAAAATTAAATCAGAGTGGTGAAATGATTTCACTATTTCACTATTCACTACTCAGTATTGGTGTAATTAGTGTAATTGGTAAATTGGTGTAATTGGTGAAATTGGTAAATTAGTAAAATAGTAAATTGGTGAATTAGTAGAATGGTAAATTAGTAAATTGTTGAGATGGTGAATTGGTAAATTGGTGAGACAGTGAATTGGTGAGATGGTGAATTAGTAAAATGGCAAATTGGTGAAATGGTGAGATGGTAAAATTGTGAAATCATGAAAATATCAGAATTTGGAATTATTCTAGCCTTCATTTTTGTTTAAGTTTTTATATTTTATATCAAAAGACTTTTTATTAGAGAACTGGGTAGTAGTCTTATAATGTAATTACAATGATAGTATATCAAGCTACATGTGCATCTTTTGAGTGCCTAATTTAAGTAGTCTGCCTGAAGGTTCTACACTATCTGCTGTACCTGCACCCGAACTAGGGGGGTACTCATTTAAACTATTTGGTTACAACTATGCACTATTGCCTCTCTAACCCAAGATATTCTTCACCATATATAAGTAGGTTTTGGTATCTGCCCATATAGATTTTGCACTCTACTTTAGGACTTACTAACCACAATTTGGATTTATCAATCCCTATTTTAAGACTAACTAACTATATATTGCTAATTTATCCTTGAGGTAAATCTAACAGAGCAGTACATGTCCCATGATGTTCCTATAACTTCTTTCTAATTAGTACTTATTAATCTGCAATTCCATATTTGTATCTCACACCACCTTTTGGAGTGCTGCCATTCTACGGACGTTTCTCAAGCATCAACCTTCCTAACTAGACACCTATTATATACTCCTTGCTCTTATTCAGTTTACAACAACCCCAATATCTATATTTGGACCATCTTCTTATCCAGATTTTTTATGGTTCCTTCTTTACTTTCAGCTAGCAACCTAGAAGGCCAGTCTTCTCAGGCTTTAGATGCCTCATAGTCACCCTTCTCTTGGTCTATACTTTAGAGCATATGCCTTTTCTTCTGGTGCATTAGCCAGGTAGTTTGGCAGGTGTATCTTCCCATTTAAAAATCTGATTACTCAGTTCTCTAATCTCAGCCCCAGTTCAAATTTTGTCTTCTTGTAGTACCATTGAAGATCATTGCTACCTCCAAACTCAGGACTTGCCAAATAGGTTTTTAGTTATTCCAGTTCCTTAAATTTATTGTGCCAAAGCTCCCATAATTAGATGGTGTGACTAGGGTGTATGGCAGAGCAAAAAAATTTGGCATGTCATAAGGCATGCCATCTAACAAATAGTGCTCAGCAAAGTCAAATAAAAATTTGACGATCAAATACTTAATAAAATATTTGATAATCATAATTTTCAAATTAGGCAAAGCATAATCTCTGATCTAAATTAAGCTTCGCATATCTATCATATTAACTATAATCGTTATTGCAAGAGTTTTAGATTCTCAGGTTTGGGATTCATATAAACTTAAGCACAATTTAAGCAAAATACAAATGTAACTTTACATATAATAAATATTAACAGCTTAGATTCTACTTTTATTACCACTAAAGCACATGATTCTCTAGTAATTTGAACGCCTTACTAAAGGAATAGAATCGCTTTCAGATCTAAATAAGGCATTAGAAATAGTTCCAAATAACGTAACAGCATTTAAATAATGGTCAAGACTGTATAAAAATAAGGATTCCTTGTAAATTTAAATAAAGCATTAGAATTTAAACCAATAGTATTATCAAAAAGATAGATTTGAATAGAGCATTAGCAGGAAAGTAAATTTTTTTTTTAAATCTGATTCTTGGATTTCTTGAATGACATAACTAACGTCTCTTTTCTCTTCCGGGTACTTATTAAGGTATTTCTGGAACTCTTCATTTCAGTTCTTGGGACGTATGATTTGCTTTGTGTTCTTATAGACACATTACCATCTTTTTTTTTCCTTTTCCAGTTCTTATTTTGAATCCGGTTCTCGGATTTCTTGAATGACATAACTAACGTCCCTTTCTCTTCTGGGCACTTATTAAAGGTACCTCTGGAACTTTTCATTTCAGTTCTTGGGACATATGATTTGCTCTGTGTTTTTATGGCGCATTACTATCTTTTTTTTTTCTTCTCCAGTTCTTATTTTGAATCTGGTTCTTGGATTTCTTAAATGATATAACTAATGTCCTTTTTCTCTTCCGGCACTTATTAAAGGTACCTCTGGGACTCTTCATTTCAGTTCTTGGGACATATGATTTGCTCTGTATTCTTATAGCACATCACTATCTTTTTTTTTCTTCTCCAGTTCTTATTTTGAATCTGGTTCTTAGATTTCTTGAATGACATAACAAATATTCCTTTTCTCTTCCGGCACTTATTAAAGGTACCTCTGGAACTCTTCATTTCAGTTCTTGGGACGTATAATTTGCTCTGTGTTCTTATAGTGTATCAATTATCTTTTTTTTTCCTTCTCCAGTTCTTATTTTGAATATGGTTCTTGGATTTCTTGAATGACATAACTAACGTCCCTTTTCTTTTAAAGGGTATTCCTGGAACTCTTTATTTCAGTTCTTGAGACGTATGATTTGCTCTGTGTTATTATAGTGCATTACTATTTTTTTTTTTTCTCCAGTTCTTATTTTGAATCTGGTTCTCAGATTTCTTGAATAACATAACTAATGTCCCTTTCTCTTTTAGGCACTTATTAAAGGTATTTCTGGAACTCTTCATTTCAGTTCTTGGGATGTATGATTTGCTTTGTGTTCTTATGGCGCATTACTATCTTTTTTTTTCTTTAGTTTTTTTTTTTAAGGAAGTTAATTTTTTTTTTTGAATCTGGTTCTTGAATTTTTTGAATGATATAACAACGTCCCTTTCTCTTTCGGGCACTTATTAAAGGTACCTCTGAAACTCTTCATTTCAGTTCTTGGGACGTATAATTTGCTCTGTGTTCTTATAGCACATCACTATTTTTTTTTTTCCTTCTCCAGTTCTTATTTTGAATCTGGTTTTTGAATTTCTTGAATAACATAACTAATGTCCCTTTTCTCTTCCGGGCACTTATTAAAGGTATTCTTGGAACTCTTTATTTCAGTTCTTGGGACATATGATTTGCTCTGTATTATTATAGCGTATTACTATCTTTTTTTTTCTTTCTCCAGTTCTTATTTGAATCTGGTTCTCAGATTTTTTAAATGATATAACTAACATCTCTTTCTCTTCTGGGCACTTATTAAAGGTATTCCTGGAACTCTTCATTTCAGTTTTTGGGATGTATGATTTGCTCTGTGTTATTATAGCGCATTACTATCTTTTTTTTTCTTTCTTCAGTTCTTATTTTGAATCTGGTTTTAGATTTCTTGAATGACATAATTAACGTCCCTTTCTCTTCCAGGCACTTATTAAAAGTACCTCTAGAACTCTTCATTTCAGTTCTTGGGACATATGATTTGCTCTGTGTTCTTATAGCGCATTACTATCTTTTTTTTTCCTTCTCCAGTTCTTAT